GTGTCCTCAGATGCAGACCCAGAACACAGGCATTTAAACGGGGAAGTTCAGCGTGCAAAGGACCGGCTGGTGTTCCAGGGGGGTGTGCACGCACGGTCCCCGGGGGCACCTGCTGCGGCGGGTGAAGTGCGCCCGTGTCCAAACCCCCGCACCTGCCAACATCACCTTCTGCAGACATGGGGTCCCGAGAATGTGAGGGAGGGAGGTCCAGACGAGGTCATTCGGGGAGTCTTGTGGACTCCGTGTCCCTATAGAAGGAAAGAAAGGGAGATTCGAGCTGCAGAGGGGACATGCCCACCGGACCACAGAGGCAGCCGCTGGAGGGTGTGTCTCCAAGCCAAGGAATGGCGATGGCTGCCGGCACCCCTCCAGCTGAGTCCCTGCTTCTGCGTGTGAGGCTGGTGACCCGGGCGGCGGGCCATCCAGCTGAGCTCCAGGTGGCCCTGCAGGAGCCCGAGGCCAGGAGAAAGGGGCACTGTCCAGCATGTGGGACCCCCGGGCCTTTCTTTGTGACCATGAGGGGTTTCCCAGGCACGTCACCCCACCTCCTGGCGGTGCCCAAGCACTGCGGGCGCTGGCCCGGCACAGGAGGGCCACAGGCAGAGTCCGCTGGCTGCAGCTCCCAGGACTGACCGGGTAGCCCCAGCAGGCGGGAGCTCCGCAGGTGGGTCTGCGTGCTGCCCGGGGCCTCCGCGCCCTTCCAGCCTCCCACAGGGTCCCGCCGGCGAGGCCTGTGAGTGAGCACCTTCCTGTCCTCCCAGGGGGAACAGGGAGGTGGGAGATCTCACCGCGTTGCGTGGTTATTACCACCGAGTGTGTGTGCGTGTGACAGAGAGACAGGGAGACCCAGAGGCAGAGGGACAGAGAGACCGGGAGCCACCTGGCTGCAGGCCTGTGCAGGAAGGCCCAGCTCGGCACCAGCGCCACCCATAGGCCCCACGGAGATTGCAGCTGAATTGCACAGGCTCCCGCAGAGAACAGAAAACAGCCCTTACTCAAGGCTCACACCTGACTTGGTGACGCTCATCACCTCATAGCCTGTCCTTGGGGGAGGGGATGTGTCTGGGGGCACAGTGCCTCTCTGTCCCGCCCCCTCCTGCACCACTGTGGGGGTTGAGGTCACAGGGACCAGGCTGGAGGACAGAGGCTCCCGGCATGCCCAGCCCCCTCCTGGGCCCCGGGCACAGCCCCAGCTTCAGAGCTGGGCCCGCCCTGGTGTTTGGTTCTGCTTCGGCCACTCCCCAGCTGCCAGGCCCGGACGGTCACTTAGCTTCCAGGAGACGGGAGAACGGTGACACGGCCGGGCAGAGGAGGGGACGCAGCAGTCATGCGTGGAGAGTGGGGAACATGGTGCCAGGCACGTAGCAGGCGATCGAAAAGCGCCTCGGCCGTCTTTATGATTAGCTGCTCTGTTCCCGGCCGCCGTGGCGGGGCCCGGGGTCAGCTGGGCCCCACTGCACCGGAGAGGAAGCCCTCGGGGGAAGCCCGGCCAACCCTGGGGTCACCCCACTGCTGCCGAGAGTAACAAGGCCAGAGTCCAGCTAGGAGCGGGGGACCCGGCCTCAGGTCAGCTGCTCCCCGGACCACCTGGGCCTGTCTCCTCGCCTGGGAAACGGGAGAAAGTCTCGCCAGCTTGGAGCAGGCAGACGAGAAGCACAGAAGCACCAGGCACCTCTCCTGCCTCCCTCCCGAGGGGCCTGCGCTCGGCCAGGCCTGGCCTCCCAGTGGCCCCCGCCCCCAGCAGTCCACCCTGGAAATGGGCCCAGGAGTCCGCCCCAGCGGCTACCCCAGCCCGCCCCAGGGAGGCAGCGGGCGGGAGAGGGGCAGGGGCCGCAGGGTTCCACTCGGAGCCTCAGCTTCTTCCTTAACTAGGCGGCAGAGGGGCTGGGGCCCGGCTGGGAGCGAGCCCTCCCCAGAGAGCCTGGCGGCTGCACCCCTGCTCTGAATCTGCTCAATGGAGCCGATCCTGACCCTCCTCAGAGGCCTGTGGGCGGATTGACTGAGTCGGTGCGTCTAGAACCCCTCGGCAGGGATCCTGGGACAGGCTGGGGACCCCACAGTCCCCGTGGGCGCCCCCCGGACCTCGCAGGAGTGTGACCACAGCAGCTGAGTGTCTGTTCTGGAGGCTGGGTCACGCCCCTCACCTCGAGTGGGCAGGCTGGTGAGTGGGGTGGGTGTTAGCCGCATCCTGGCCTCTGCCCACCGGGTGCCAGCACCCCCGCACCCTGTTGAGCACCAAGGGCGTCCCCAGAGTCACCCCCTGTCACCTTGAGAGGGGAGGCAGTCGTTCTCCTGGGGGAAGCAGCCCGACCCCCGCCGGGATTCTGCCAGCTCGGGTCAGGTCCCTGTTCTCCAAGGCTCACTTCGCAAACACAGAGCTGTTTGAACAGTGGCACATTCGGAGCTGAGTGACAAACCAGTCCTCCCAGGGCCTCGGGGGAGCTGGTCTGGTGCCCGTTACAGATGAGGAGACCGAGCACAGAGCTGACACACTTGCCTGAGCCCACACAGCTCCCGGCGGGAAGCCCACCCGTGTGTCCCCAACGCCCGAGAGGTCAGTCCCCTGCTGGCCTATCTCTGAGCTTTTCCACGCTGTCCTGTCCTACGCGGACCCCGACCACCAACCACACCGCCTCCCTGGGACAGGTGCATGCTCGGGGAGACAGGCGAGAGGCTGGAGGGCATCTGACACCTAGTGCCTGGCAGCTGGCATGTCCCTCTCTTCCCACAGGCCATCTAGTGACCCACCCCAGTGAGTGGGTGAAGCCTCGTCCAGACCCCACCCACCCACCCTCTGTCATCCTCTGGGTCCTTCCTGCCCCAACACAACACCAGGCGAGGCGTCCCTCTGACCACTGCCCTCGGGCAGCAGGACCCCACTGTGGCCCTGAGCATCTTGTCTGAGCAGTTCTGCATCCAGAAGCCTCAGAAGGTGACCATGTGAGGGGACCAAGCTGTCCTGGGGTGAACTCAGAGCAGGCCAAGGTGACCATGGAGGGGACCAGGCTGTCCTGGGGTGAGCTCAGAGCAGGCCAAGGTGACCATGGAGGGGACCAGGCTGTCCTGGGGTGAGCTCAGAGCAGGCCAAGGTGACCATGGAGGGGACCAGGCTGTCCTGGGGTGAGCTCAGAGCAGGCCAAGGTGACCGAGTGGGGGACCAGGCTGTGCTGGGGTGAGCTCAGAGCAGGCCAAGGTGACCGAGTGGGGGACCAGGCTGTCCTGGGGTGAGCTCAGAGCAGGCCAAGGTGACCGAGTGGGGGACCAGGCTGTGCTGGGGTGAGCTCAGAGCAGGCCAAGGTGACCGAGTGGGGGACCAGGCTGTCCTGGGGTGAGCTCAGAGCAGGCCAAGGTGACCGAGTGGGGAACCAGGCTGTGCTGGGGTGAGCTCAGAGCAGGCCAAGGTGACCGAGTGGGGGACCAGGCTGACCATGGTGGGAGGAGGGGACCATACTGTCAGAAGGGCAGCTCAGAGCAGGTCACAGCAGCACAGCTACCTCCTTAAGCCCTGGCCCTCTGAGCCCTGGCCCCCCTGATCCCTGAACTCCCTGAGGCCTAGACCCCCTGAGCCCTGGCCCCCTGAGCCCTGGTCCCCCTGAGCCCTAGCCCCCCTGAGCCCTGGTCCCTCTGAGCCCTAGTCCCCCTGAGCCCTAGCCCCCCTGAGCCCTGGTCCCTCTGAGCCCTAGTCCCCCTGAGCCCTGGCCCCCAGAGCCCTGGCCCCCTGAGCCCTGGTCCCTCTGAGCCCTAGTCCCCCTGAGCCCTAGTCCCCCTGAGCCCTGGCCCCCTGAGCCCTAGTCCCCCTGAGCCCTAGCCCCCCTGAGCCCTGGCCCCCAGAGCCCTGGCTGCTCTGATAAACAGCTGGCTGGCGCTCCCATTCCTTCAGGAGACCCAGCACCTGGCCTAACAGGGTGGGCGATGATGCTGAGCCTGGGGGAAGGGAAGGGACAAGGCGGAGGCCCCTGGCGGGCTGTTGGGGCAGAGCTAAGGTAGGGACTGCCCCTGCTCCCCCAGGCACACTGCATTTCCCGGGGCTCGGGGCTCGGGTACCCAAGCTCGCCCTCACAGCCCACCTGGTGGCCTGCTGCGCCCCGACTAGGGCTTGGGGCTGCCCTTCAGGCCTGGAAGTGCACCTGACCACCAGCTGCTCCGCGAGGGGGAAGGAGGCTGTCCCACCCCCTGGAAGGGGAGAGCCCGAGAGGTTCTGTTTGGAAAGAGCCCGCCCTGGCCCTCAGCACCCTCCGTGGTCTGCTGCGCCTGGCGGTGGCCCCTCGGCCCTGGGGGCAGGAGCTGGAACCAGGCCCTGCAGGGTCCGAAGACCAGCCTGAGGGCCACTGCTGGGGGGGCTGGGCTCACACCACGTTGGGGCCCCCACCAAGACCGGAGGACCCCTCGCCTCCTTGCTTCTGTCCGGGGTTGCTCCGTGGAACTGGAGTGAATTTTCTACCAGAGAATCCCGAGAAAAGGGTGCAGTCAGAAGGGCGCGTGCCGAGGGCCCTTGGCACCCTCGTAGGACAGGGCCAGCTTCCCGGTGCCCCTCGTGTGCTCTGGCTGCTTCAGTGCCAGGGGAGAAATGCTTTTCTTAGGCTCAGAAAGAGCGAGGGGGCTCCCCTCCGGCGAGGACAGGCCGACGCCATGCACACAGCTGTGACCATGGCCCTCCCCGTCACCCCTAAATGCAAGAACCCCTAGAGGCTGAGCCCCTCCACGGGTCACCCACTCACCCTTCCCAGCCTCCTGCCCATTTTCGGGGGACTGTCTGACCGACCCGTGGCCGCCTCTGCCCGAAGGCCCCTGTCGGTGAGCGCGAGCCCGGGGCGCCAGCGGAGGGCGCCAGGACAGGCTGCGGCGGACCGGGGTCCCGGGCTCCTGCTCCGGCGGCCGATCCCGCCCGGGTTTTGCGGCTGCCGCGCCCTCCTCCCTCCCTCCCTCCCTCCCTCCCCCGGCCGGCCGCTCCCTCCCTCCGCGACGCGCGGGGATCAGTCTTCAGGCATTTCCTGCAGCCGGGCCGCGCCGCCAGCTGAACCCCGCGCGCCCGGCCCAGCGCCCCGGCTCTGCGCAAGGTAGGAGCGCGGCGGCGGGAATGGGCCGGGCAGGGAGCCGGGAGGGGCCCGGAGGGGCCGGGAGGGGCCGGGAGGGGCCGGGGAGGGGTCCGGAGGGGCCGGGAGGGGCCGGGGAGGGGTCCGGAGAGGCCGAGGCGCAGAGGGCCGGGAGCGTCCAGCGGGCCGCCGGCGGCCAGCTTCGGGGACCGGGGGAACCCCGCGCCGCAGCTCCCGGACCCTGGGGACCCGACAAAGGCCGGCACCGCGGAGACCCGCCCCGGCCCGTCGCGCCAGGAGCCCGGAGTAGCGCAGGGACGGTCTCAGGCGGGAGGGTTAGGGCGCGGGTGGGGCCCGGGTGTGGGAGCGGCGCGCGCAGCCTGGCTCCCCACTTGGTGCAGCTTGAAGGAGCGGGCCAGGAGGGCAGCGGCTATGTCCGTCCGCCTCGAGTAGCCAGGTCCGTGCCCTAGCCGAGCCCACCCCGGGGTCCAGAAGGGTTGGGGTGCGCGGGTGGAAGGGGGGGACGGAGATGCCGCGTCTGGCAGCCCAGCTCTGGGCTTGGTTCCCAGGGCAGCTGTCTGGGTCCGCAGAGTGGGGGGCCACCTGCTCACCCACCAGCCACAGCCTCCACCTCCAGGCCACTGACCCCCTAAAGATTTGGAGCCTCAATAATTGCTCCGGGGCAGGAGTACCGGAGGGTCCTGGGGATTAGGGGAGGGGGACATGGTGTTGGGGGCTGATGGCAGCCCCTGGGAACCACTCACCAGCCTGGGCTCCCCAGGCAGAGCCCCCCTCTCCCCCTCCTTGGGGCTGTCTGCTGTCAGCAGTGGCTGGAGTGAGGATGGGTGACTCCTGGGGGTGTGGACAGGGCCTTCTAGGAAGGAGGGGGCTTCTCTGCCCCTCAGCTGCCCTTGGGCCGGGCTCTGCCCCTTCACCCCCGAGGGTTTTACTCCCTCGCTCTCGTGTCTCCACGGGAATCGTTTACACGGGTGTCTGTCTGCCTGCTCCCCTTCTGGACGCCTTTTGCAGGTGGACCCCTGTGACCATCCCCCTGAGCACAGCCAGCAGGGCAGGGCAGAGGCAGGCTGTCCCAGCCGGGGACGTGGGCAGCCTTCGGGCTGGGTGTGTGCACCCTCGGTTGTGTGGACTGGGTGGGTCCAGGTCCCAGACAGCAGAGACCCTGCCCTCACAACAGGCCGCAGTCTGCCGAGGCCTTTCCCCACCTTCCTCGGGTGTGGGGTGGGGGCTCCTGGCACTTGACAGGCCTTGCGGACAGCAGACAGGTCGGGGGCGTCTGCGGTCCCCTCGGTCCTGAAGCTCTATTGTCTGCCTGCACGTGCGGGGCCAGGGTGCGGGCAGGCAGCCCCGGTGTGTCTGGTCCGAGTCCCGGCTGTGTGTGGAGAAGGGGGCAGAGCAGACCCAGGGCCTTGCCTCGGGGACACTGCTGCTGAGCCCTGGGCAGAGCCTGGGGAACGCGAAGGGGAGGCCCCCCTCTGGGCCCTGGATCCCGGCGTCCTTCAGAAGGCTGCGGGGGCTCCGGGCAGACGGCAGCCCCTCCCCCTCAGGTGAGCATGTCCGGGGTCAGCTTCTCCTGAAATCTCTCCCTGGACGCCTCCCGGGTGGTGACAGCAATCGGACCTGCTGCGCGTGGGGAAGGAAGAAACACTGCGTGACGAGCCGGGTCAGGGGACTGCTTGGGGGCCTCGCGCTGTGTGCTGACTCTGTGGCCAAGCCCCCGCTGGTGCACGCCCCTGGGGACACACAGGCGCCGTGTACAGGGGAGCGTACCCAAGGGGACAGGAGCGTGCCCTGCCCCATCTCACTCGTCGTTCAAGGGACAGGTGTCCGGCCTCAGCTGAGACAGTGTGGACCCAGCTCGGGGTGTCCAGTGCGGCCTGCCACGGGGCCCTGGAGAACCGAGGCACGGGGTACACGGCGCCCCAGCAGGGCCCGTCATTCTGAGATGAAGGCAGCAGACCTGTGCAGTTCCCTCCTCGGGGTTCACAGGGGTAGCAGGGAGCCCGCTGAGCACCGTCGGGCACAGGGGGCCAGGCGTTGGGGGTACAGGAAAGGCCGGGACCTCCCAAAGGTCACCAAGGACAGAACACCCTGGGAGGTGCTTGTGTGGCTCGTGGCCATCACAGAGGAGCGGCGGATGGCCGCGTGCCAGACTGCCCCTTGCCCTCCCGGACCTGCACGGATGAGGTGGTGGTGAGCGCAAGGTGAGCTCTGGGTGGCAGCCAGCGTGACACTTGTGGCTGCTGCCTGCCGGGAGCTGTGCCCCAGAGGGTGGTCCTTTCAGAGGGGCTGGTGCAGCCAGGCGCAGGGCACTGGCCTTCTGGCCGTGCTGTCCCCTCAGCATCACAGCTGTTCCCAGCCAGGGCCCCTGGGAGCGTGTGCACAGGGTGTGACGTTGTCTTGCGCCGGATCTGTGCCAAGGGGAGTGGGCCCAGCTGTGTGCCCAGGACCTGCCTGATCACAACAGTGACTCGCAGGCGGGGAGCTTTGTCCAGCCAAGGGGCCGGGGACAAGCCATCCAAGGTGAGGGATGTTGCAGGCCGGAGATGGCGGCCTGGAAGGGCTTCCGGGACCCCCACGGAGGGAACCCCTGTAACCAGGACTGCAGCCCTGAGGGATGCGAGGAGAGGCTGTCAGAGAATTGCCAAGGTGACCTGGGCCCTCCAGCCAGGGAGAGACAGTCCCCCTAGCTCAGGGCGTGAGCCTGGTTGGCCAGCTCTCAGGGACGTGGGGCACCCCCAGGGCCTCCCATGAACCTCAGAACCAGCACAGCCCAGCTGCCACGCCTGCCGCACACCCACTCTGCTCCTCGGGGCACCACGGGCTCTTGTCCGAAGGCCACGCTGACCACCGCACTGGCTCTCCATTCCGGGCCCTCTGGTCCCCCGCCGGCAGCCAGCACGACCTTTGAGTACATAAACCACATCCCCGAAACTTACCTGCTCAGCGTGTGTGATTCCCACTGCGCTCCGAGTAATTCCAGACTCCTGGCCCTGCCCCCTCGCTCATGGCATCCAGCCCCGGGGCCTTTGCACTGCTGCACCCTCTGCCCAGGGCGCTGATCCAGACCTTAACTCAGGTTCCACTTCTCCGAGAGACCCTCCGTGCCGGACTAAGCGCCCGGTCTGAGGCAGCCGCGTCCGTTTTCCCAGCAGCATTGATCCGTGTCATCCGTCGGTCTCTGCGTGATTGAATGGCCGACTGCGGAGACAGCAGCTGGACCAGGGCCAGGCCCCCGGCGGGGCCATGAGCACACTTGTTGCCTGAATGTCTGCCCGGGGCTCTCTTCCCGGGGCCTGGCGAGTAGTAGGTGCTCTGTGCCCAGGTGACGCCGTAGAATCGTCTTTGCCCGGGAAGGTGGGTGGCTGGGACTGGACGTCCCTCCCGCATCTCCCACCCCTGGTCCCTGCGCCACCAGCTCCCTCCCTCCCGTCCTGCACTGTGGCACGTGGAGGTGGACTAAGCAGGCCTCGGAGCCCAGGGGTGGAGGGCACAGCCGTCCCTCCATGCAGGTCTTCACCCAGCGAGAATGCGGGCACCTCCCATTCCAGCGGCCAGGCTGCCCCCCGTCCCCGGCAGGGGGATTTGGAAACCGGGGGTAGACTCTGCTCTGCTGTGGGTGACAGCAAGTCCCCAGGAAGGCAGAGGGAGGTGGTGCCTGGCAGGGATGAGGAGGGGCGGGCCCAGGGCCAGGAGGGAGTGAGGCCCCTGGTCCTCCACCACCAACAGGCAGGAGCGACCCTTTGTCCCTTCCCTGGCCTGGAGCTGGATCTCGGGAAGGAGGGTCCTTGCTGAGGGGAGGACGCATGAGGTGGCCTTGATGGGGAGAAGCCAGCGCAGGGAGGTGTCTTAAAGGGCCAGGGCTGTGCAGTTGGGGAGGGGAGGGCTGGGAGGTGGGGAGCACCGTGGATAAGGGCGTGCAAGGCTGGGGTCTTATGCTGCCTGTTGGGGTGAAAAGGCAGAGGGTCCATTCAAGAGCCGGGCTCCGGCCTCGCGGCCTGTGCACTGGTTGCAGCAGCAGTGGCCGGGTTTGTGTGCCCTTTTATTGGGATGCGCGGGTGGAGAGTCATTTAAAGGGCGAGGGCGGCCAGTGAGCATCTGGGCAGCGGACACGGGAAGGCCTGGTACCCCCACACCCCAGTCAGAGTCAGGCCGATCCGGAGGGATGCAGGCCAGAGAACCGGCAGGAAGTTCCGGGGGTCAGAGGGCGGGGCCTTGCGGGTTCTTTATTCTGTCTGTGGGATGCTGGTCAGAGGTGAGGGCGAGCGTTCGAAGCTCACTGGACAGGGCCTGCTTCTATGTCTCTGCAGCGGGTCCCTTGAAGGAGGCCCCTCTTGAGGTCTCGAGGTGAGCCCAGGACCGTCCCCGGAAGGAACAGAGCAGGCTGTCCCGCAGAGCCCTGGTTCTGCCAGCTGGGCCTGCTGCAGACCTGGGGCTGAAGGACAGGGAGGAGGCCGGGCCAGGGTCCGAGGGGTTGAGGGCGTCAGGGATCCTGGTGGAACAGGGGCCCTGGCCTAGGAAGACGGCTCAGGGATCTTACCCCGGGCGCTGGGGCCAGGGGTCTCTTCTCCCCCTGCAGCTCCGTCTGCCCCCCGTGAATCCGTGCACAGCCGTCCCGGGAGAAACCAGACGGGTCTCACGCGTGGGCTGGGCGAGCATCAGCCGTGTTGGTGACCCTGGCCTGGGTCCTGCAGGGGTGGGAAGCAGACCTCCTGTCAGCCCAGGGCCAGGCGCACGGCAGGGCCTCGGGGACCCTGGGGAGCGGGGGAGCCGGGACCTCGCATTCAGGCCCCGCGTGAGCCCCAGGTGCCGCAGGGTCTCCCCACCCACACAGCAGGCTGTGCATGGAAAGAGGGTTCCACCGATTTGGAGAAGTTAGAGGCGGACCCTGGCCAGTGAGCAGTTAGAGCAACGGGTGAAAGGGTTGTGGGTTCGATGCCGGTCAGGGGCACCTGCCTGGGTTGCAGGTTAGATCCCCGGCCCCAGGTGGGAGCATGCAGGAGGCA